GGATATTTACGGGACCGCCTGCTGCCACCAGTGTTCTGTCTCCGTGTCACACACGCACACAAACAGATACCCAGAGGTTAAATAAAACTGGCAGACAACAAATTCTTTCGATAAAAGAATTGGCAGCAACCCAGTAGCTGCTTGCCAAGAACTTTACTCATAGAGGGAGGGGTTGTTCCTCTGACAGATAAACCCAAACAAGATACACACAGTTCAAGAATTGTCAAGTCCAGTCCGTATTAAATCCAAGGCAGATAACGTTGTTTCAAAGATACAATGTAGTAGTTTGTTTTGTCCGTCACAGAGTCTGAATGGCCACCTTACCCCCTTTTATCCCCTGTGGGGTGTGGTCCAGTGACTCAGCCTAATCTCTGGCATGCCTCCTCTTCTGCTGCGCGCGCCTGTCTCTCCAACGCTGGCGTGGATCCAGCCAAGACTTATCTCCGTCACTGTCCGACTGCGAGGAGATACCTGGCTCCTGGCCAATCTCTTCTCGTTCAGGAGACACCTGAGGCATTGCCAGAGAGAAGGGTCCTGGAGAGGGAGGCCTGGCCAACTCCTCTCCTTCATGTTTGGAGCCTTCTCCCTCCAATAACACAGGCTCAGGTAACGGAGCCACAACAACCAGTAGCCTCTCACTGGCCAGTACGCTCTCATAGAGAGGGGCTCCTCCGGGTGCCCTCGGCCAAACAGTGTCAACTGGCGGCCCCCAGGGGGAGAGCCTTCTCTGTGGGGGCACCTGCTATTTGGAATGAGCTCCCCCCGGAGATACGGAGGATCCCGGATCTACGCAACTTCCGCTGCACCCTCAAGACTTTTTTATTTCAACAGGCTGGCCTGGCCTAACTTTTCCCTTTTAACTTTTTAAATTGTAAATTTTAAATTTGTCTTAAGTATTGGGGGTGTTTTAATTTGTCCCAGCCAAATTATTTAATGTGGTTTTATACTGTCTTTTAAATTTTGTAATCTATGTGTTTTATTTTTTAGCTGTTCACCGCCCTGAGTCCTTCGGGAGTAGGGAGGTATATAAATTTAATTAAATAAATAAATAAGTGGGAAAATGAATCCCAATTTCACAATTTGGAGTTTGGTATCAGCTTTTCCAACTAACAACTATTATTAAAAACCCTTTAATAAAATATATTAGTCAGAAAAGGTGCTACTTAAATTAATGGAAAAATAATGTTTTCAGGAGACCGTTTGAAGGAGTTTGGGAAAAATTCAACTTTTCCACTTGCTTTCCATCTCAAATATTCCCGATTTGAAAAGAATGTGACCAGAGTTCCTTTTCCTTTTAAGGGAAGGGGAAATCAAAAAGGAACCTAGAAAAGTGATAATTGTATGTAAAGAAAATAGGACATCTTTAATTTAAGCATTCTGAAAGTTAGTGATTGTTAAATTTCAAAAAATAAAGAAGGCAAGTGTGATTGCAACGAGCATGTATACGTAAAAGGTATTTCCATTTAAGGGTGTACTAACCAACTTTAGTTTCTGAGCAAAGATATACCTCAGGAAGTCAACATTGGTTACTACGTAATTTGTAAAATGACCCTTAGTGATCTAACAAATTGGGCTATAAATTGCTCTAGGCTTATATGTCTCCATTTCCTTGATGCTAGTTATGAAGAAGAGTGTCCCATTGTCGGTGTGGAGAAGACATCCACTGACTGACACTACTAATCTGACGTTAAATTTTGAATCCAAAACATAGAAGACAAGCACATTAAGCTACTAAGACACAAGATTCCTTGGTCCTATTCAGTTATGATAATCAACAACTATAAATCAACTCTACTGAAAGATGGTTATGAGTGCTATTGCTTGTGGCTGATGCCCAACCCAAGAGTTACCTAAGTACAGCTTATGTGCAGGAAAGCAGACAACTAGAAGGCTTTAAAAGCATTAATGTTATCATCAAAACAGCAGCAATTGCTAAGTAAGTTACTCAAAGCATCCATTGTTCATTCTCTCTAATGTATACAATGCATTTGCTGGGTCATTTGAGCTGCATGAGGTATAAAGCTCCTAGTGGAAATAATCAAATTCTCACTGTCTCCTTTTAGAACACACAATAAAGTGCTAGCTTTTGAAAAAGAAACTCTTGTGCAATCAAAAACAACATTTTTTCCACTATATCACAAGCAAAATTGGGAGATACCAGCAGTGATTACGAGACTACACAAAAAAACAGAAAAGTAAAAAAACTCCCAGCATGAATCTTCTATCTGGCATAACCATTGATAAGCATGTAGAAGACATTTTTTAAATTATTTTTCAGTGCTCTGGTTTTTTGCAGAAAATTTTCCCTCCCATATCACTAATAATGCAAATCTTATGTAAACTAAGATAATTAACATATGGACATGTGCATTAAAATACTTAAACTAAAATTACAATATGCAATCTTGCATAGGGAATGTTTCCAGAAAGTTTTCCAGTTCAAAATAGATCACAGGGCTGTAAGGTTGCTATTCAATATGAAGATTCAATTTGAATGTGATTCAGCTGAATCTCCAAATTGATTTAGTTGCTACTCCTTTTTCTCAATTGATTCAGAAATTTCAACAATTCTGTGCACCGGAAGAAAAAGATATTTGAAAGCATGGTGTTCACTAGATCCATGGTATTCAAACTGTGTCGCCCAGAACCCTAAAGACTCAATGTGACAGTTTACATTGTTTACATTGTGTGAAGTGTATTATTACAACATTAAGTATAACATTTTGTTCAAATAAAATAAATTACGTAAAGCTTATTTATTAAAGGGTTCCACACCAATTTTTCACATAGAGAAGGGTTCCTTGAGTATCTCAATTTTGAAGACCCCTGTACTACAATTGGTTCTGAAGTTACACTGACAGTTGGGATCAGGATTACCATCATTAAGTGACATGGTCAAAAAAAGTGACATCATGTGATTGTATCACTTAGCGACAGAAATCCAGGCAATCCTGGTTGTCATCATAACCCCAAGACATGCAGGTTGTTAAGCAGGGCTCAACTAACATGTAACAATAGGAACAGCAATGAAAAATTAAATTAAATTAACGGGTACAAGGCCAATGGTATATTACACCACTGCTGATTGTTAACACAGATAATTCATTAACTAAACATTGTTAGCTAGGTTTTGTTTTGTTTTTTGTTTTTCATATTTGGTGGCTCACAATTCTGGAATATGATTTGCAACAGAATGAAAGAAATTTCTAAAGGTTAATTCTCTTTCCAGCCTGTTATTTTCCTATTAATGATTATTAAATCTCAGATTTCCCCAAGGTATAACAAACTGGCTTTGCATATCATTATATCTGCTTGGATATTCTGTGTTTCCCATTAAGGAATTAAATTATAGGACTATGCCTCAATTAAAAAATAATCTTGGGTTTGAAAAATAAATATAATACAAAATTCAATTCAACATGAAGCTATGAAAATTCACTAAGTGATGTGAGACAGTTTTGATGGCATAAATTACCTGTAAAATCAAGTTCTTTGGATGAAATAGGGGAAAAAAGAGAGATGAAATTAAATGAAATGGGGTATATAATATTATAAAAATAAGCAAACAGGAGAAAACATATCATGGTCATTTCCCAAAACAATCATTGTGTCTCTACCATTAGTTTATATGGTGAAGAAACAGATTATTTATGTGAAAGGTGGAAATAGAAATGCTTTAGTTAATTTGATCCCAAATTAGAATTAATTCTTCAGTTTCAGAGAAACAGACTGGCATTTATCAAAAAATAAATTTAAAAGTTACCTTTTAATGCATCTACTTCAGTGGCGGGTTTCAAATTTTTTTACTACTGGTTCTGTGGGTGTGGCTTGGTGGGCGTGGCATGGCTTGGTGGGCGTGGATTGGTGGATGTGGCAAGGGAAGGATACTGTAAAATCTCCATTCCCTCCCCAATCCAGGGGAAGGTTACTGCAAAATCTCCATTCCCTCCCGATCAGCTGGGACTTGGGAGGCAGAGAATAAGCTAGTCAGAATTTTTACTACTGGTTCTCCGAACTACTCAAAATTTCCACTACCGGTTCTCCAGAACTGGTCAGAACCTGCTGAAACCCACCTCTGATCTACTTCTGCATGAGATATCATTGAATGCTTAAAAGGTATGTAAGAATTGCTTAATTTTTTTTCTGATGAATAAATATTTATTGTTTTAGTTTCTTTGCAGTGTTAAACAGTTGCAGATATTATACAGGTAAGCAGGCCAGTGTAATTTTTTCTATATGCAACATAACAGATTAAAGAAATGGTGATAAACCACCCTAAGCTACACAACTCAATATTTACCTGAAGTCATTCCACTGAGTCTGAGCTATTTATTTATTTGTTTGATGCTTAATTAAGATCTTCATAAACCATAGAAATGGCATGCAGAATTGGGGGAGGGGTATTACTTTCGAATTAGGAAAATTACAAAAACAGATACTGTACAAAACATCACAGCTTCAATAGGCAGCTCTCAACTGTTTATATTTCTTTGAAAGGATTCTGTGGTACACACACGCTTGTGCTATTATGTTAAGGGGAGGGAGAGGAATCAAATTCTTGAAGTCAAATTTAATAAACCAGGAAATCTGATCCAAATACCACATAATAAATTAGTTAGAAGCCACTAGGAAAAGAGCCAACATCCCCATCTCCCTTAGTAATACATTTTAGTTTACCAAGGCAATGATAGCAAAATCAGCTACAATTATGTTAAATATTTATTGCTAAATCCATTAATATTTTCCCTAAAGCACTATGGTACTGTATAACTTTCATAGGGAAGTGAAGCACGATGAAAATATAGCTTAGAGCGCCCTCTACCTTTCACTGTGAAAATTTTTTGGCCCTATACATTTCATCTCTAAAGCTTTTTAATCATATGTTTAGAAATTTTGCATGTGCCAGAAACTGCTTCAAATTTTAAATCCCTGCTAGATTAGTGATCACTGAATGTCAATCAATCTGTACGATTATTTCTGAATATATTACGGTTACTTACAGGGCCATTTCAAACTGCTCGAGCCATTTCTTCTTCAAATCTTTGGTTTTGCAGTACAGTTCTAAGCCATTTTGTCCTTGTGTGTGGATGAGGTAGAAGCCGTAAGACCACTGTTTAAACAGGAAGAAAATTCAGGAATTAACTTTTAAGAACAGAGAGACAACCAAGTTGGAAAATACCTGGAGGACACACATTTCTAATTTCACAAAGTTCCAGGGAAATATAATAACAATAATTGTAACAACATTCCAGAACAACTCTTGAGCTTCCTGGAATCTTAATACATTTTTTAATCCCATTGCAAATATTAAACAGATAAACCAAAGCTGTAGAATGCACCACTGCACCACTCTGAATGCTTTAGTGCTTCCCCATATTAAAAAGTTCTTGGGGTGGGGGGAGAATAGCAAAGAATCAAGAAGATAAACATTTTTTTCTTAATTCCCAGTTTCCTACACAGAGGCTGTAGATAAATAAATCTAGAAAAGGGGCTTATAGAAATTTTAAATAGTTCATGTAATTAGGAATCTTAGTATTTCAGAGCAGAACATGTCAAGGATCCAGGCCTATTCTATATTTTTACCTTTTTACTCTCCTTGTCAGTGGTAGGGTTATTGCTTATTTTGTATTCCTGAAGATCAATTATATCCTTCATTTCATAATTATCACCTCTCCGTTTGCATACTATTACGGCCAAGTCAAATAAAAAGATATGCCTGGGGAAGAAGTGAAAGTATAAGAAGTTGTAAGAATTCAAACTTGTGGTTAAAAATGCTATATGAGAAATATTTAAGTAGAGTTTAATCTGGATTAATTTTTAATAAACATTTCAATGTCAAATCTGATTGTTAAACTAAAATTTTCTCTCAAATTTAAATATGTATTTTGAACTGCAATTTTAGATTTGTATGCACAGTTCCATGCAGCATACGTATAAATTTCATTCTATTCTACAACATTTAAATCCCTATCAAGAGATGGAGAAATGGACTGGACACTGGTTTTATTTAATTTCAATTTAATTAATTTGATTTAGATGACACACAATTCCAAACACCTCATACAATGTAAAAAAACAAAACAAAACAAAACAACCAACTGAAAACAAAGCCAACCAACCAAATAAATAAAAAAAGCAGATAAAATGTTTAACTGAAAGCACACCAACACTATCAGTTTCTATTGATGATGATATCATGGGAAGCAGACAGTTCCCCAAATGACCAGGTTCTATGCCTTGTAGGGCGGTATAGGTCATTACCTTGAATATGGAAGCAAAAGGATAATCAGTGCATTTTAGAGTAGACTCAGACTTTGTGTTTATGTAGTGAGTCCAGGCTGATTCCTCACAAGCCCTCCTCCCAACGAGGATGATTATTTTCCAACAAAAAGGATTCAGGAATGGGTGCACCAGTTTATTTCACAGCAATGAAGCTGTGGAAAGGCCTTCTAGGCCAAAGCTGCCATATGCTTATTGAGCAGGAGCTAAGACTCCATGAGTGCCCCCAGATTGCTTTCCACCGTCTAGTGGGGAAGTGAAACCCCACCCAAGATAAAAATTGAAAAGTCTGTAAAGTTCTAGGAGTCCCAACAATTACAGACACTCAGTCTTAATAGGATTGAGCTGAAGACTGTTCCACCCTATCCAGGCCTCCACAGTCTCCAAGCATTTTTATAGTCTTTGACAGTTTTAATATTTCAAATACCACCCATGCCACTGAGATGCCTCACCCACCTGGCAGCAACCACCCCAAGTCCCATCACATTCATGCCATGCCTCTCCAGCCACCTCCACACCCCCTCACTTTCTATCATCCTGCTTGCGAGCTATCTGGGATTTACAACTTCTTGCCAGTATCCCCACTATCTTTGGCTGTTGAAAGCCAGCAGGAAGTTGCAAGGCAGTGCTCACTTAACAACCCACAATCTTTGCTTAATAATGACAATAGGAATTGCAAGGTTTGTCGGCCTTTATGACTGCATTGCTTAGAGATGGAAATTCTAGTCCCAACTGCCATCATAACTCAAGGACTACCCGTATATAAGGTAGACTCTCTTTGCTTCCTTTTTTTTTCTTGTTTATTTATCATTTTATTTTTATGGTTTGTTGAATTTAATTTTATTATTGTGTAGTTTGATACTTTGCTTATATTATAAAATCTTTTTTTTTAAAGCACTTAATCTTGAATGATCAATAGACACTGACAATAGACCAAAGGATTGCCTTTAATCTACCAGTGCACATTCCAAAATTATTTTTCTTAGCTGAAAAGAAATATAATGCCATGGCACATTTACTTCCTTCTCATGGTCAGATCTCTGAATTCACTGGCATTACAGCTGCGCAACTAGTGAACTGCAGGTATTGTGCCATTTCAGAAGTATTGATCTAGGATCATTGCAAAATAATAAAATCCCCAAAAACAAACTGAAGCAATTCTCACCTATCTTGTCTTGCTCGTTTGTCCAGAGTCGTTATCTTTATTTCACCATCACCCTGGGGTCTTCCATAGAGTAAGAGGGATTGGTTCTGAAAAAAGCAAAAATTACATTAATCGCTTAAAAGATATCCAACAATTTTATTGGAGGAAGATGCTGCATTCAACATTCTGAAAAATGGTTGGATGTAAGGCAGATGGCAAATAAAAATGCAAAATTGGCAGCAAGGCCCAGAGCATCTCTGATCTACTCTACAAGGGGTATGCAAAACATTTCAATCGCAAAGCATTTACTTCAAGTAGTTCCAGTTCAACATTAGCCATCTGAAACATTTTAGTTCTCCATCTGCTCGGAATATTGCAATTGGATCTTTGTGGTGAGTGTTGCAATTAGCTTTTTCTTAATTTTTCTAGCCTGCAGGGAGTGATCCTAAAGCTACTGCTATTGGCTTAGATAACGTGGGGTGACCTGGATAGGTGGCCATCGTGTGTTGGGAAACAGGCATAGGACTCATAGATCCAAATGCTTCTGCTGTTGCTGAAGAAGACTACAGACCAGGAAGTTTGCTACAGCCAGTGCCTGTAACTCTAAATGCTATTGCCACACCTTCAGCTGGAAATTAGGAAATTGAACAGGCTGTTTCTGAGGCAAGCTGCAAGCTGTCCTAGTTTAATAGGATTCTTCTTCTTGTGTCTTGGTTTTAGCTCTTCAGACTTAAACCTGGAGTAATGGGCACTAGTTACAGGGGAGAGAAATGAAAAACCCCTCCTTCCTTGCCATTTCATTTCCTCTCACTTTATGTACTTATTTTGAAATATTTAGAGCCTGCATATTCTCCAGCCTTCAAAAAGCAACATAACACAATAAAAACCAAATAAAATAACAAATGGGGTAATGAAAACAATGCAATAAAAACATAGTTGTCCTGATAGAGAGGCATTTAAGAAACAAAAGACTTTTGGCCATTGATGCTAAGATCCCCATATAGTTATAAAAAAGGTGGGGAAGGTCTCCAAAGGCATTCTTTGCTACCAGGAGAAGAAAAATTATAGCCAAGAGGCCACAACAGAGAAGGGCTGGGCATATAATATCTCATTCAGCTATGTTTACTCTGTACTTAACACATTTTAATGTGTAATGCATCCTGGAAGAAATCCTCCTTCAACAATCAGGCCTTGTATACACAGCCAGTTACATTCTTCTAGGAGTTGCATTTTTCAGTTAATAAGCCAGCCCACCATTCTTGTGCATTAGTTATAACTTCTGAGATATCTTCTAGGGCAATATTTCTTAACCTTGGCAGCGTAAACAATTCTGGGAGTTGAACTCCACATATCTTCAAATTGCCAAGGTTGAGAAACACTGTCCTCTTGCTTGTGTATGCCCTATTTCTTTTTTTATTAGTTTATAGTATAAAATACAAAAATACCAAAGCAAATAGTAGGTTCTCAATAGTAGAACCTCAACTTTTTACTTTTCCATAATAGTGATGTATGCCCTCTTGACTTAAAAATAGATGTAGCCCAGGCAGAAAAAGAAGAATTTTTATCGCTCTAAGTCATAGATAGAATCTGATTGGTCAATTACTTTCTCTTTTTAACTGATGCATTACTAAGTTGAAATTTGCATGGGAAAGCAGTTTGTGTAACATTTCCTTCATTAACAAATGTTGCTCTTGAATGTTTCTTGTGAAAATTACAATGTTGATTTGGGTAGCTTTGTTGAGCTTTTTGGGGGTACTCATAAGCATACTTGATAGTCCAGAATGCTTTTTTTTTTTTTTGCCAAGACTGACATCACCCAAGATAGCTTGATAAGCTTTTGCTCTCCCTTTCTTGTTTTAAAAAGGTCCTACTTAACTTTTCCTAACTCATCTCTGCCTGTGTGCTTCAGAGCTTTTCAGAATGCATTTAAATGCCATGAAGTCAGCTGAAGCAGTACTACATTCTTATAATTACCAGCAAGCTCTTGTAATATTTATGTAAGAGTTCTTAGAAGCAACAGGTGGCAGCATTTAAAAATATGCTTACAAGTGATTTAAGAACAAAACAAGTCTGATAGGAATGGGGACTCAGTCAGTAAATTAAATTGTCTCTGCTTCTTTTAGCTGGCTGACGCCTAATGACTAACTACTAAAATCTGGCCAAGGAAAATTGACGAGAAAGTTTATCTCATTCAGGGTAATGTGTCTGCTAAACATTCCCGAGAGTTGATTTGAAGAAATTGAAAGACTACTGATTTTTCTGTTGAGAATCCCAGAAAAGACAGCTTTTCATGTAACAGATTCTGTGATTATGTTAACTATCAACTATTAAGCAACAGATTCTCACTCTCAAATCCATGTTTTCCTAAAAAAAATGGATTTTTTAAAAATTCTATGACACCATTTTAAAATATTGCCAAACTTTCTAAGGGTTGTCTAGCAGTAGCTAGAATGGACAGTCCAACTCCAGGGGATAAAAGATGACAGCAAGGGGGTTGTTTCACCTTCCCTATGATTCTTATAGTCACAACCCTAAATCCATTTCTTTTTTTTTTCTTTTTTGAGTCAAAGCTTTGTGGATGAGAGTTCCTGTTTCTATTCAAACTCTCTTGATACTCCTCTTCCAACTATCAATATTCCAATTGGAATATTCAAACCTTTTTGAGAATATAGTTTTTTACCTGCAATTGACTCTACCCTTGAACACACTTGCCTGTGCTCCACACTGACTTTAATCATAAGCCTGCCTATAGTTCTATCAATGACAATTATACAAGGGGAAAAAGACACCTAAAAAATAAGAAATCAGCATCTTATAAAGTCCTACCAAATTTTCTATTGATGATTGAAATTGCTTAATTTCACGGAGGGTTTCATTATCTCGCTTCACTTCATTTACATATTGTGCCAAGTCCTAAAACACAGGAAAAAAAAAAAAGAAATTTGATGTGTAATAAAGATTGATTAAATTTTTACAGTTGAGTAAGGGCTTGAAAGCCACTCATGTCCAATTTTCAACATTATAGTTATGATTTTTTTTTAAAAAAGGCATTTATTTTTATATGAACATTCCCCTAATATACAAACATTTGCATACAGTAGACTAAATACAACATTACAATTTAAAAAAAAAAATGCAATTTAAAGGTAAGTGTATTCTAATTTTCATTTTAATTCAGGGAGTGAGACTTAGGTCAGATTGGTTAAACAGCTGGACTAATTCTTTCCTGTCCCCCTAGTGTTATTGAAGCAACTGTGCATTAAATGGCAGCATGAGCATATTGGAAAAACTATGCTACACGCAGTAACCCCTATTATCAACTTCACATCCTTGGGAAGGAAAAATGGGGTCACAACTACTGGCCCAAGTCCTGAAATCTTTTAGCACCATTGTAAAAGATTGAGTTTCTGCTCAGCGTTCACAAAGCCTAAGCTCATTTTGCACTGAAAAGACCACCTGATAACATGAAACAGAATATACAGTGTGCCAAAGTATAAGTATGCGTGTGATGTGCAGCAACATTATAGAACCTTTTCTATTCGAAAGCCAGAGTGAAAATAGCCTGACAAATAATCAAATAATAAATTAAACATGGATCCTTGAATTGTGAAATGAGCTTGTTTGCTTTCATTTATAAGCATGGTATGCCAGTGTGCCATAAGATAGAAACCAAGCATGTTTCCAAATGTTTAATTTTCAATTTCTTTTTAGAAAAGACTCCTTTCATTTTATATTAGAGAGTGTGTACTCAATCAATCACACTTACCTTCATTGCATCAAGGGCCAACTTTAGATTTGCCTTCTCAGTTATGTCGTTAGTGTGCTTTACCAGCTCCTATATTACAGAATTACAGTTATTATCAACCCATTATAATGGAGAGAAACTCAGAAAATTATGGATGTACTATAATCAATGTAGCTCAATCTAAAGCACTGATTATATTGCCATTACTCAAAGTTATTCCAAAGGTGTTTTTTTTTTCCTCAGCTCACCAATAAATCTAGAGATTTTTAAACAGACTTTTAGCCAACATTATATTTCAGGTTTTATTTTTTGGTTTCAGCTTTTCTGTGTTAGCACAGCAAATATTTCAGGAGATTGGTTAAATTTCCTGCAAATGAGTCCATGCCCCCAGATTAACATGATCAACTTGTTTCTAATTCATCCTTTATTTAGATGCCCATATCCTTTTCTCTGTAAGGAACATAATCTAAATGCCCAACCCCAATTTTAAAAAAGGTAGAGGTTTTATATTTGCACTAATCCACACTTAAAGCTCAATAGAGATATGTAGATTGTGACTAGTAAATACGAAATATCTTATAATACTATAAGCTTTCAATGATGTATTGGAATATATTGGTCATATTAACATTCAAATTTATTGTTTATCTGTTCATGTTTCAGTATCTGCCCCTTATTTTCTTCTTTGTGTTACTTGTTCTATATATACTTTCACAATGCATAAAACAGTTTTTTAAAAAAAGTAGTAACATTTCTGAAAGTTTTACAAACTGGGAAAATCAGCAGTACTGATACAGTACTGACTTTTATTCAAATGAACATTTTAAAATAAAAGTTATGCTCCATTACATTTGTTAAAATCATACCAGAACTTTCTGCACAGAGTAATGTGTCAATTACAAATGCAGTTAAAATGCATAAAATACATGGGACCTTGATATATTGCATGTAACAAGGCATTACAGAAACAAAATACTGCTTCTTGCATAGACAGAAGCTCTTTTTAAAATGACACTTTTTAAGTATGAGCAATGCAGGCAATCTAATGCAATAGTGTAGTTCTCTACAGCTGTACTAATGAGTCCCCCAGCAAAGCTATCAAATGATATTTAGAAGATTCTCAAGTTCCATTATAGTACTAACTGCACAGGAACCAAGCGCTCTGGGAGTTGTAATGGAAAACATTCTAAATAAAAACGGCATTATTATAATCCAGCACAGAACAGAAGTAACCTAGGAGTGACTGCTTCCTGTTCAGCCTCGATTACCGTGTTTCCCCGAAAATAAGACCCTCTCTTATATTTTTTTTGAACCCTGAAATAATAATAATAATAATAATAATTTTAGTTCTATACCGCCCTTCTCCCGAAGGACTCAGGGCGGTGTACAGCCTAATTAAAAACAGAATAAACATCAATTTAAAATAATTTAAAAATATTAAATAAATTTGGCTTAATTTAAAACCCCAAAAATTTAAAACATCCAATTTAAAATTATATTGCTAACCCAGCCTGGCGGAACAATAGGGTCTTGAGTGCGCAGCGAAATACCCGGAGGTCAGAAATCTTACGAATTTCCGGGGGCAGTTCATTCCACAGGGCTGGGGCTCCCACAGAGAAGGCCCTCCCCCTGGGTGTCGCCAGCCGACATGACTTGGCCGATGGCACCCTGAGGAGACCCTCTCTGTGGGAGCGGACTGGCCTGTGGGAGGCTATTGGTGGCAGAAGACGGTCTCGAAGGTACCCGGGTCCTTTGCCATGGAGCGCTTTAAAGGTGGTAACCAACACCTTGAATCGCACCCGGAAGACCACTGGGAGCCAGTGCAGCTCGCGCAGGAGGGGTGTCACATGGGCGCAACGGTTGCACCCATAACCACCCGCGCGGCCGCATTCTGGACCAGTTGGAGCCTCCGAGTGCTCTTCAAGGGGAGCCCCATGTAGAGAGCATTGCAGTAGTCCAACCGGGAGTGCTTGGCCTTATTTTTGGGGAGGTCTTATTATTTTGGGGCCCATGGAGGAAACCAGAGGAAATGGTGGGAACCAGCTGCACGTGTGTTTAAATATTTTTGGGGAGGGCTTATTTTCAGGGGGGGTTATTTTAGCGCATGTGCTCAAAAGCCCGATTGGGTTTATTATCAGGGGATGTCTTATTTTTGGGAAAACAGGGTAGGTACAACAACAACAAAAACACATTTCACCTATTAGCTAAGATGAGTATATGGTATTGATTTATACTATTAAAAAAAGATAGGCAGGCAGGCAGGCAAACAACCACTCCGCTATTGTGAAATCAACTGAATTCCAATAGGATTGGGCTGATGGAGAACCTTTCTAGATAAAAGATCTTTCTCTTCCTGTATACTGTGTATCGTGTATGCCCTCACATTTACTGTACTATGAGAATCCAGCATCTCACTAAATTGATTTAGACATTATACTCTTTATAGCAGATCCCTAGGGAAATTTTTGCAACACCTACCAGGTGGACAGCTGTACAATTTAATACAACTCTCCGCATGGGTCAGAGCCATTATGGGTTTGTTATGCTCTTGCTGATGATATACTATACTGATACATATCCTGGCTGACAAAAAAACAACAACAATATAATAGCACTGACCTGCTCACTGCATCATATTATATCAGGTTCTTCAACCTTATAGATGTTGCATTACAATTCCCAACTGGAATGCACCAGTGTGGATTCAATACAATACAATAACCAGCAAGCTAGCACCAGTTCTGAGTGGTAGCTTTACTTTAAGTGGAATAACAAGCTGTTGCTGTTGTGAGAATCATGAGTTCCTCCCCAAAGAAAGTAAGTACAATGTTTCTAAAAAAACATTATCACCCCCTCCCAGAAAAAAAAAAACTTAAAATTGACAGGGTGTTTTAAAATAAAGGATGCAAAGACCAGGTTAGTGATAGATACTTGTGAAGAAAACTCTATCACTGTGGTTACTAAGAGTTGACACCCACTTGATGGCATACAATCAATAATCAATCAGTCTGTATCGGGGTGAAATGCTCCCGGTTTGGTCCGGTTCACCTGAACCAATAGTAAAAAGGGCTACTGGTTTGCCGAACCGGTAGTAAAAATGCTTTTAAAAAGTAAAAAAAAGACTCTGACGATTATAGCTGTGCCCCGCGATCGTCAGAGCCTCTTTTTTTACCTTTTAAAAGCATTTTTTTACAACCTATTCGACCGAATAGGTTATAAAACAATGCTTTTAAAAGTTAAAAAAAAAAGGCTCTGAAGATCGCAGGCCACAGCTGATCACACACACACATCCCGTGCACTGTTCTACTTACCCCATGCCTCCTTTTGGAGTGCACCGCACACGCGTGCGCACCTCACATTTGGTGCGTGTTGGCACTGCATGTGCATGCGCAAAGTGCACATTTGGCACACAGCACGCATGCGCAGCTAGTGAACTGGTAGTAAACCGGTTCAGATTTCACCACTGGTCTGTATCCAGTGACACTCTTACAGCTGAAATTCTTACATGTGTATTCTCAATAGTCCAAATTCACAGTACAACAGTGAGTGTTCTAAATAGTTAAACAAAGATAGAACTAGCAAGATACAATCTGAATCATTAGAAAAATTAAATACCTGAAGTAACAGATGATACTTCAGAACTCGTTGCATTGGAACTACAAGGAGATCCCGCAGAGTAAATTTCCCGTTATTAGCTCTTTTGGAACATTCCTAATTAAAAAATAACCAAAAATTGAATAAATAAGGTGACTCTGTCCCATAATCAAAATAGCAATGTTATCTTTGATAAGACACTTGTTTCTCAAACTGCACCAACTATTTAATTACACTGAATTTTGATTAAGTTTGAATACTGGGGTCCTTAGATTTAGTCTTCTTTCTCACCCACTGTTTTGTAATTCAAAGATCAAGCACAATTCAGAAAAGATTGAGCAGGTCTGGGTTAGGAGAAATCATTGGGTTATGATCAGTGGTGGATTCAAATAATTCAACAACCGATTTGCCCAGGGTCAGGTTGGCTGTTGTGGGAGGTGTGATGCATCCCCATCCTCCAGCTCCACCGTACATGTGGGACAAGCCTCCCAAGATGGCCAACCTGACCCTGGGTGAACCAGTTGTTAAATTACCCCCCCCCCGCCGCTATCAAAGTGGATCCTGGGCCCTGCGCTGCAATAGAGAAATGGGAAACGGAGCAGCCGGCATAAGGAAAGGAGGAGCAGGGAAAAGAAAGAGGGAAAGCGACCTTCTCCTTCCCTTGCGTCAGCCTCTCCATTGCCCATTGCACAGTTTCTCCATTGCAGCACAGAGCCCAGGATCCACTTTGATAGCGGGGGGGATGGGGTAATTTAATAACCAGTTCGCCCAAGCTGGTGCAAACCGGCTGAATCACCCCACTGGTTATGATCTGGTCAGGACTACCAGAAGCAAGTGAGGATGACTGAAATTTTAATTTCAGTCTTTTCCCCTTCAAATCTTCCAACCCATTTATAGGGATTTAAGAAAAAATAATAATTTCCACATCTAACTGTAATTTATAAATGAAGGGAGAGGAAAATTTAACTTCCCTCTCCCATCCTATAGATAGTGGCACTGCCCTATATTAGGATTACCCACATTTCCTCTATAATAGGAACAGGAAACACTTTTTCAGGCCAAGGACTGCTCTTGTTTTATTTGCCTTATTGAAACAACAACAACAATATAGCTATCAACCTCAATAGTATGTATGTGTTTAAATAAAGTCGTAAGATTTACACAGATGGAACTACAGTATAAACTCTGACGATACTATAAAAATTTTTGGCTGGCAATTCAGTTCATAAATAGAACAATTCAAGAATATTTGATTAGATTACTCAGGAGTCTTTTTCTGTTGGGGAAGGATATCAAGGGATGACATCCAAAAAAGTAAGTGGGGCCAGTACAGAATAGTAAATGAAGCCAGGATAAAGTTAATTTAATGTCCATATAAATATAATTAAATTTAAACTTAATTAAGTAGTGAACATGATTACTCCCCATGTATTTAATAAGTTTCCTCTACTATGATATTAAGAACTGCAGTTCAGCAACAACTTTCAGAACCACTCTGGAGGGCTCAAGTAGCCCTGAGTGGACACCCTTAGTAATTAAACCTTGCAAAGAGAGCTCTACCATTTATTGCTGTAAATAAATTCACAGGCAATTTTAACTCTTGGTCTGCACATTAAGGAGAATGAGGTGGAATTGCAAGTGTAGTAGAAAAAATATATACTTCTTCAGTACATTGTAGACTATTTTCCCTCAAATCTGCCTTGCAAAGTGCTCTTTGCTATGACAAAGAATGAACTGCACTTGGCCCTTTAACCCAATCTCTAGTGGTGACACATGTTATCTATAGGGGAGGGGCTTCAAAGTACATTTGTATTTGGAAATGGTTCCATCCATTCCATCTCAGCTTTGACCATCTCTGCATAACATAGTCTGCATAACATTTACACAGATCATAATTTCCAATTTCATTGTAGAAATAAAATTAGCAGGCATAGGTTGGAATATCTATGTAGTATGCAGTACATAAAATGGACTAATAGTAGACCCCACCTTTTCCCCCTGCACATCCTGTTCCCTTCCCTTCCATCTTTTAACCATAATTTTGTATTATTATTGTTGATAGAGAGATGGGATAGGGATAGGGATAGGGAGGGGGAGGGGGAGGGGGAGGGGGAGGGGGAGAGGGAGAGGGAGAGGGGGTGGAGAGGGAGACATTTTCATAGACATAGATATTGACGTAGATATATATGGTTTTAAAGCTTTTAACATTGTAAACTGTCCAAAGTTACCAGATAGACAGACAGACAGAAGATAGATAGATAGATAGATAGATAGATAGATAGATAGATAGATAGATAATGGATGGATGGATGGATGATAGTCTGATTGTAAGAGTTGATCCAAATCAAAATGTTTTTATTTGTAAAGAAACCAATAACCTCCAATTTCAGCTTAACATCTTCCTTTGTCTTGGAAATAACATCCAAACAGGAAATAGCCGTCTCTACTTGACTGCAATACTGCCCATAAATCACCAATCTAGAACAATACAAAGAGAGAGAGAGAGAGAGAGAGAGAGAGATAAATGAATTCATTCGTATATTATGAATATTCATTTATATATTATTACATTCAACAACTTTATTTTAATTTTATCCCTAACTACAGTTTACAGATAGTCCTTGACATACAACCACAGATGGAACCAGAATTTCCATTGCTAAACAAAGTAATTGTTAAGTGAATCGTCATGGCTGATTTTACAACCTTTTTGCCATGGTTGTTAAGCACTGCATCTCTGTGAATCATGTCATTAGGCAAATCTGGTTTCCGCCATTGACTTTGCTTGTCGGCAGCTGGCTGGTGAGGTCGCAAATGGTGATCATGTGACCCTGGGATGCTGCAACCGTAAAAAGTACATGCTGGTTGCCAAGCACATGAATTTTGATCACATGACTGTGGGGAATGCTGCGATAGTCATAAGTGCAAGGACCAGTGTCAGTTTTTTATTGCTACTGTAACTATGAATGTTTTTTAAATAAATGGTTGTAAACAGAATCTACCTGTAAATTCTTAAGTGCATGTGGTTCCATTTTAGTCTCAAAAGTAAATGTTATAACTTTAATCTGGTTGAAAGTACAACTATAAACCTTTTACAGAATAATTTTAGTATTTATTGTTAAGGTAGTCTTCAATCAAGATTGTAGCAGTCATTAAGCCTACCTGATCATCTTGCTTAATGACCACAGTCCCTGCTCTCCCTGCTGTGGGTCAACCATGTGAGTCACTAAGCAGAGCATGGGTTGTCTCAGGGGCTGGGGCAGGCTTTAAGAGGTCTGATGTAGGCCCAGGTCTGCACTGCACCTCCCCCTGGTCCAGGATTTGACTAAGATAGTGGGGTAGGGGCTGCTGCAGTGTCCTTTGATCAGTCATAAGGGCAAAAGAATTGCCAAGCACCTGAATTTTGTTCACATGAGAGCAGGGGTGCTGCAGTGGCTGTAACTTTGGGTACAAGTCATAAGGTCCCTCCATTCAGTGCTGTCATAATTTCAAACAATTGAATAAACAGTCGTAAATCGAGGACTACTTGTAACACAACCCTCAGAAAGCTCAACGCAGAGGGGAAGGAATCACATAATTGCAATTAGTGATTGCATCAATTGTGTCCTGGCTATAGAAAGTGTTAAATTGTCCCACACATTCCCCACCCCGAAGTAATAACATGAAGGAATGGATATGATGAACTTTCTGTGGCCAATCCCAACCTTAATTCTCTTCCAGTACTTTTAGAAATCAGAAAATGTGACACACGCACACACACACACACACACATACACCAAATAAGGTTAATATCCAAGAAAACCATAACAAAATATACAAAAGAAAAAAGGGGTGGATATAGCACATGCTACAGAATAACTTTCTATGAAATTTAATTGTTTTTAATGCACTGAAATCATGTATTATAGATTAATACTAAATATGAAAACTGTTCATATTTGAACACAAAACTTTTATTTAAACTACATTAAATACAATTGGGAGCTTATCATGGATAAATTAATACCAACAGCTCACATTCACATTTTGAATATATACATTTTATATGTATAAAGGACTATTACCTTTCCTTGTAGCTAATAAAAATTTTATACAAATTCTGGTCACTTTTGCTTACAATGGATTCATGAATATCTTGTGTTAAAGTTCTGTGGATTTTCACCAAATCCTGAAACAAAAAATAAACCTTTTATAAGAATCTTCAGTGCTATCATATCAGTTATTATTTTCATACAATGAAATACAGTGATTAGACTATTTCACACTAGAAACTAGAAAGTATTATCATGGTGGTTATTAAAATGAGCATTTATTTACCTTAAACTTACTGGTATGTGTTTGTTATATAACTCTTATGAAATTATAAATTTAAAAGTATATTGAGTTCACTATCACATTTTTTAAGTCAACTGGACACATTAAAGACAGGTAAACTTATTCATAGTTTACCTATTTTAGATTAAGGATAGGATAACTTTACTCTATCTTCTATTGCTAAGGCATTAATTCTCAGTCTCTTTCTTCCCAGACCCATGGTTGCATAGGAAGACTTCATTTGATCAAAATAAACTCAGAAAATATCTTAATTCCATTTTAGATTTGTGACTGCAATCAGGTTTAATGTCCAAACATAGGGACGTGGAGGAAGTTTCATTGACTTTTATAAATTTAATACTAATACCTTGCTCCTCAAAAGTTAAATAAACTGTAAATTTCTTACTATTAACTAAAGCTCTAGTCTACAAAACTGAGTCATAAATTCAAAAGCTTGTTTGTTCCTGTTTTTTCACTTTAAACAAAATAAATGTGCATAGTGCAAAACGTTCTTTTTCCAGAAGACACTTAAAAACTGCCTGCAAGGACAGATGTGAATGTGTAAGTGCTCAATGCAACACCTATCAGAAGCCTCCTGAGGAAACTTGTTGAAATTTTCCTGGCAGGAGACACAATTTTGAGACAAAACCTTTCGCCAACAGACAAGAAATCTATTGATTGCTGACTAGCAGCTTCTAACACAGAGAATGGAGAAGTCTCTACTATTTCCCTTGACATCATCACCCTAACTGAGAAAAACACTTTCTCAGTGGTATTTTTTGAAGATTTGACTTTGTTTTTATTTTTTAAGGCAGGATAAACTACCCAAGCAGTATATGAGAGGAGAAATTCTAAACACAACGGAGAAGAGAATGATGGAACAATGAATCCCTTCTCCCACCTATGTAGAAACCCACTACATAAAAAGAAGAAAAACTTGGCTGAGAAATGGATTTTAAGTACAATTAATTAACTAATCCATTCAAATCCATCAGACAGTTAATTTAGACAATTAGGAAAAGTTATTAATTTGCTTAGTTATTTATTATCGTATTTTTTCATGGCAAAGATTTGCTTCTCATCTTCTATCTTAAAAAATGAAACTCACTCACAGATTAGGCGAAAAGATAAATATCATCCCTCCTCCACCCCCACCAAGTGTTTTGAGGTGATATTTTAAAGTAATGTTCTAGTAGACAAATAAACAAATCAGTGTAACCATATGCTAGCCTTATTATTAATTCTGTCCCTTTACCTTGGACAAGGCTAAGCCAACAATGGCTCACCAATGGAGTCTGCCTAATCCTGTATTTTCCTGGGCAATGACAACAAAGCACCCTGAGTTGAGTGTTTTGTTTTTTTCTGGGCAACTATTCCTCTATTCCTTTTGAAGCGTTACGTGAAATGAAAAACGTGTTCATTTCTCCCTAACCTCTCTGTAGGAAGCCTTTTCTTCTCCTGGTAAACTCTTCCTCCTTAAGGGAGTGGGCTAGACAAAGTAGTAACAGCAGTAAGTAAGTGGGTATGTGAGCAGGAAGGAGTAAGACCGATAGCCGAGCTACAATTTCCATTCGCTAAGCTCATCTATCAATTCACCTGTTAAGTCTCAAAGGATCCTTTCTGTACATTCTATTTGTCTTCATTCTACCTAAATTTTCCAGCAATGTCTTGTAGACAGCCTTCACATGAATATCACAACTTCTGGAAATATTACTTACAGGAATGTTGATGAATACTGTTTCAAATTCTGATGGTGTCAGAAATCTTTTCAATGGCACCATAAAAAACTATAAAAGGAAAAACACAGACACACAAGTAATATTATACATTTTGCCCAATGGAACTACTTTTTAGGTGCTTGATGTCCATGTCTTGTTTTAAACATATACGTCTTAGAATACCTTATCACTTGATCAAGTTCCCAACCTTGCACATTAAGTGTTAATTGATAAATTAACAAAAGTTAGCAGTAAGAATCTAAATAAAATTACCAGATTTTATAATGGATATTTAAGGTGGTTATAAGTTATTTCTCCACTGGGTCGTTTATGTATCTAGTGTAGCAATAAAGGGGAATTGGAGCAAAGTTCATTTTGGTAGCAAACTCTTTTGTCGTTTTTTGAAAAGTGTTTTATTGTCTTTTCTCTTGGATGTTTTCCTCAAAGAAAATGTCACTGTGCATGAAAATTCCCTTTTAACTCAATCAGGGTTTCTCAATCTCAGAACTTTGAAGAATTCTGCGAGTTAAAGTCCATATAATTTAAAGTTCCTGAGGTTGAGAAACATTGATCTAAATCATTTAATAACTTGCAACTCATTCCATATCAGAATATTCCTGAAAAATGGCAGAATCAGTACTGTAATTTCCATTGAGAGATTACAAGGGAGTCAGGGAGAAGGTGGATTTTTCAATATTACATTTAATTATTTCTCAAGCCATAAAGTTTTGAAATTGCTTATTGAGTAGATATAACTTTTTTTTAAAAAGAAAAATGAGTGGTCTGCCATACACTGGTAATAGTGAAATATACTGTGATATAAAATAAACATGTGCTCTTAAAATGAAAAACTGATCCATTATTTAACATTAATGTATCCAGTAGTCAAATTTAGAAAGTTGTGGTAGATTAGGGATCATGAAATGCTTCAACACTGAAACAGTTCATTCAATTATCTGACAAGTTTAACAAACTTTTTCACATGTGGTTTGATCCTTTCAAATTCAGTTGTCATTGACTGAGGTGAAAAATTGGCTGAAAGATTGTTTTAAAATGTTTTTTTAAAGATTAACAAATATGATATACTCACTGTTAGAAATACTGCAGAAATTATCAGATTTCTATGTTCTGTAATAGTAATTAAGTGATCCAGAGTTTTACTTAAATAGAGAAAACCTCTATACTCTCTGTTGAGAAGTGGGTGGGATTATTTTTGACAAATTATAAATATTTCAATGGAAGACAATAGAACATATTCCCATTGTTTCCCACAACTCTTTATTTTTAAGTAAATAGATAAATAACATACACCCATACATATAATATATAGCTAATTTGATCTGTTTAAGGCACTATGTTAGAAACAAAGTGTCAAGATTGAACTGCTTTGCTTCTTTCAAACCTTAATGCTTTTCAACTTGTCAATGAACTGCGGGGAGGGAAGGGAGAAATAGAATGCTGAGAATATGTGCCTGGACTGTTAAAGCCTGACAACCATCAAGGTCACCACTGCAGCTGCTTGAGAAAGAGAGGCACTGTTCCCATATCAAAAGGATGTTTCATAATTGGACAATGTGATCACCTGGGGTGAGGAGAAAGGGAAGCTATTGCTTAACTAATCAAGCATTTGCACGGGGAAAACCAGAGCTGGTTTTGATTCTTCTGTACCAAAATGGTGTGTCCAATAACGTTTTATTTTTGGGAACTTAAAGCTCCCGAGAGTGTTTCTTTATTTTGGGTTACTAGTTGACACAAGGAGACTGTGAGTTCTAGTTCTGCCTTAGGCATACAAGCTGACTGGGTTACTTGGGCCAGTCACTCTCCCGCAGTCCACAGGATTGTTGTTGTGGGGAATATAGGAGGAAGAAGGAGTATTGTATATTTTCACCACCTTGAGTTATTTATAAAAATAATAAAGACAGGATTTTTAAAAATCCAGATAAATCTAATACTTTCTTACTTTAAAACAACTGAGGATCCTGGATTATGGCAGGTATTGAATATAAATACATTTACCAAATTTTATGTGCTGCTTATCTTTGTGGCACAGTGGTAAAAAAGAAGGGGGGTTGGTAACTGGTCTCAAATTCCCTCTGACCAACAGTGCTGTCTTTTAGAACAAAGCAAACTCAGAACACTTTGAAGAAATATTTCAAATGAAGCTGTTTTATTTCAAGGTCAAAACCAAATATGTTTTCTATTTTGTGCACACCTCTACTATGTATACATCCTTGCCTGAAACTTCTCTGCTCTCCTAGCTCCCCTGGCAATAAGTGGGAAATGAGTTCCTGATTGTTTTATCACATCACTTTACCTTTTCAATTGATTCCAGTGTTTCGGTGTATTTCTCTTCAGTCTGTTTTATTTCCGAAAGACAGCAAGTTCTTATGTCATTCTCAGGACATTTCTGCCAAGTCAATAAGAGTTTACTTGAATATGAGCACACTTCTGGGTATTTTTCAGTCGGACCATATTTCTCTACCAACTGTCAGTGATAGTCAGCATCCTAATCTATCTTGTTGTAGATCTGAACTCAGCGACACACTGTCTACAGGCACAACTGCCTTGCCCCATATCTTGCCAATTTAAAGAATAATCTGAACAGAATCCTTTCCAGGATTTCTGGAAAGACACTAAATGGCTTCTGGCTCCCACCGTATCCTGTGTGGACCCTTTGAATTGTGAAAAAAGGCCGTGGCAGCGGATCTAAACCCAGCCTTCACTGGTCAAGTTATCAATCAATTAAAGAAATGGTAGATGGAAGAGAGAAAGAAACTACAGGCAGCTTCCAACCGTGGGAGATTGGGAAAAGGTGCTGAAGGAAGCCATGAGAAGCGGCAAAGCAAATGCAGGCAAAAGAACCAACATAGTTTTATTCTCTGTGTTTCATGTTTTAAAACTTCTTAAATGAGAACAGGACATTTTAAAAATGCTATTATATATTAGTATGTTTATTATCAGGCAATTTAGGTCACACTCATTTAATTGACCAGGTAATGGATCAGAATGATGACACCAAAATATTTATGTGAAAAGAAAGAATTTACCAGGTAGATGACAGTGGAAGATTTTTAGGAAGGAAACTGGAGCCAAGTTGCCAATGGCTGTAGTATGATTAATTGGTTCTTAATACTCCATCAGAAATCCATGGGACTGAAATGGGTTTAATTTTGGATTATGGCCGAAATATATTACTGCACTGTTTCTTTTGTGCCCAGCTGAATCTTTTTATAACTCACAAGCTGATGTGCTGCTTCAGCTTTCATTAGGTCTTCATACACTTCACCTCCTTCATCTTCCCCATAAACGCAATCATAAAGGTCTTCATCCTCATTCACTCTCGTTTCACTAGAATACAATGTGAAAGGAGAAAATTCAGAGCACATAATAGGACCTATTTTAAAAATCTACACGAGTATCACAAAATAATGTATAAATTCCCTCTGATCTCCTGTCCATTTTGGGCACTGCCAGGAGGCAGACTTAGAAACAGCTGGCTTGGCTTTAGGTTGCTGAGATCACCTGAATACTAAACTATGGTAAACCTTAACTGTGGCCAGGGAATACAAGAAATCTATGTAATCATAATTACTATCAATACATTGAAGACAACAAGCTAAGATAGAACTTTTTTTTTTATTTCTTCTCTCATCAGTACCACAAATGTAGGAGATATAACTTACGCTCAGTAAAAAGCTATACTGTACTCGTTTTTGTAACAGTAAATCAGGATGGGAGAACTTTTCATTAACCAGGAGAAACTTTATTTTATTATTGGAGACCTGGGAGTTGATATATTATAAATCATCCTTGTAGCTAAAACCATATCTTAAGATAATTTGAAGGTTCAAAGTTGCTGATTTATTTTTTACTGTTTTGTGCATATAGCCTTTCTATAAACTTACAGGTAGTCTTCACTTAACAATAATAACTGGACCAGAATTTCCTGAATTGCAATCATCTGACCTCAGAGGTAGTACCATGGCTGGAAGTTGAAGGACCAATCCTAGGTGCCACTTGTTCAGAACCATCACAACTTTAAATGGTCACTGAAGAAGTGGTTGTTAAATTGAAGATTAACTGTATCTATTTTACATTATTTACTATTAACAAATGTTGATTATTACCCAATTTATGACAGTGGTACTAATTCATGAGGCTGTGGATATCATAAAGCAAGTTTGGGATTTGAAAGTAGAATACCTTTTTTGAGGGTATGATGAAAGATTAAGCTTAAAAGTTTAACACACTTATTTTTGTCCTTTTTTTTAAAACAGAGGATGGATGCCATGATCCCTACTAACTATTAGAGACCTCTGGAATGTCAAATTTGAAAAGTCTTCATCGGGTGAATTTATCTTCAACTCTGAACAAAATAAAAATTAATTACAAACTTAATAACTTAAAAGAATTTAAAGTAAGCAGCAAAATGCTAATTGAAATATTGTTCTCCATAGGATCAGCATAACGTCAACACCCTACAAATTAGAACCCAAAATTAATACACAATATGACCTACTCTATTAAATCTGGAAGGCCTTTGTATATGTCTTCATCATTAACACTCTCTTCGGTAGGAAAGGGCCTATGGGGACAAAAAACAAAGAAACAAAAGTGAAAAATTATCATAAAGAGCAATCTGATTTAATCATATTATTGTTCTTTTCTGTGCTTTTTCTTTTGCTGCTTTTGTGAATCAGCCAGAGTTATCATAGATAAGATGGGAGACCATATAACTCCTTTACTTGAATGAATAAATAAATGATCATACAAATGACTTTATTGGCATGCCTGAGCAAGTATTTCATTTTTCATTTCATCTGTATATTGTATATTAATGTAACTAATTTAAATCAGATCATTCAGTTCTAAAATGTAACTTTTAAAAAAGTGGAATTACTTGAAACAAAATGATTTGCAGTTCATTTTCTAAGCAAATATTTGTATTATAGACAAAAATTGATGTTTTTTTAAAAAAATCCCAACTATATTGTACCTTATTCCAGTGCCTAAAGCAATAGGGGTGCGAGAAAGTTTGGATAAAGTTTCTATAACCTGCAAAAGGGATGGAAAATATTGATTTAGTCACAAGAAAAAAAATATTTCAAGCATCATTTAAATAGCATCCATTAGCTCAGATACAAAGAAAAGGCATATGCCATTTCTACTTAAAATATTTTAGATGTAATATTGATTTTAAATGAACCTGGCACAAACACGCTTGAAATGAAAATGTACTATACTGTGACTATTGTTAAAATGAAATTGTAATACTCATAAATAATTTGGATCACTTTTATGAATATGAATAAAATGAATTACTTAATTACTTAGTTAATATTTGATAATCAATTTATCATCATTTAATCTTAAATTTGATAATTAAATTAACTTTGCAATTTAGTTAATGTTGGATCATTTGATGATGATGATGATGATGATGATGATGATGATGATGATAATAATAATAATAATAATAATAATAATAATAATAATGTAAAATATTTTACTTTCATATTTACTATAATTCTCTTAAAGTGGTCCAAAATGCACAGGCAGTTATAATAATTGATTTGAAAATAAACCAGACTTAATTTAATGGAATATAACAGATATACCCTATACAGGTAATCTTCGGCTTACAACAGTTCATTTAGTGACTGTTAAAAATTACAAAGGCGCTGAAAAAACTGAATTATGGCCGTTTTTCACACTTATGACCATTGCAACATCCCCATGGACATGTGATCAAAATTCAAATGCTTGACAACTGATTCATATTTATGACTGTTGCAGTGTCCCAGGGTCATGTGACATCCTTTTGCAACCTTCTGACCAGCAAAGTCAATCGGGAGGCCAGATTCACTAAACAACTGTGTTACTGATTTAAGAACTGCAGTGATTCACTTAACAAGTGTGGTAACAAAAGTTGTAAAATGGGGCAAAATTCACTTAACAAATGTCTCACTTAGCAACAGAAATTTTGAGTCCAATTGTGGTTGTAAATTGAGGATTACCTGTAATTACATCAAAGGAGGGTGACATCCATGGACATCAATGTCTTAAACACCTCCCTTTGATATTCATCCAGTTCCTTTTAATTTAAAAAAAACCCTAACAATACTCATATTTATTCATTTATTATTATTGCTTAAAAATAATCAAATAATCAAATGCTACTTAGATAAAAAGTATTAACTAGGAAACAGCATATTGCAAACCAGCTTCCTATTATGCAATGATAAAGAAAATCCTGGCCACCCACTCAGGTAGGTCTAATGATCTAATCATTCATGTTAGTGAAGAAATATTAAAGTACTTATAGTCAGAGCAGCTGTTAATTTGACGCAAATGACTTCTCTCTGAATTATCATTCAACAGGCAGATAAGAGTTCATTCAATATGCAGATTTCTAGTAGAGAAGGAATCAACACAAATGCATCCTAAATGATGCTGTATAATTAGTAGATTATTGTATTTTATTATCAAATAACAAAATGGGGGGGTTGTCATTACAAGTAGGGAGCTGACAAAGGAAAAATGAGTTGATACTAACCAAATTACCAATTACTGATTAAAATTAATTGCCTCTAAACAAAACTACCTCATTAATAAAATAAATGCTGTAAATGCAGAGGAAGAATTCATGTATTACATTTTTATCCTTCCACGGTCAAATGTGATTCTCATGATGTTTCAATTATTTTCTCTCAAACACGCAAACCACCTGCCAGAGAAATACGCATTATACAAATACACACACACACATATCCTTATTGCTTAAATAGGAAAAATAAGAATTGGATGGGGAAGGGGTAGCTATACTGCAGAGGTCTCCAACCCCCGGTTCGTGGACCGACTCTGGGCCGTGGCATGCCAGAAACCAGGCCGTGCAAAGCAAAGCCCCATCTGTGGGATGCAGGCAGCACAGGAAACTCTGGTCTGCTGAAAAAACCTCTCTTCACGGAGCGAGTCTCTGGTGCTCGAAAGGTTGGAGGCCGCTGCTATACTGGATTAAGAAGGAAATGGAATGAGGGAGCAAACTGGATGGAGATGAACAAAATAAAGATAGCTAAACCAGGATGGGATGAAAAGAGAAAGAGTCCTCATTAAGCTTTACAGAAAGGATTAAAAATATATTGGATAAGCAACACCACTTAAGTGCAGGCTAACCTTCAACATTATTTGTTCCCCCCATCTGTTATTTTCAAAAGTATCATTCTCCCCAGAGAATGGAAGACAAATCCCTCCATTCCCAGGTTATTATTTGAAGGAAAAACTGCAGTATGGATCTTCCTGTTTGGCCTAGCAGGATGTTCAAATAGTCAGTATCCATTCAAGATAGGGGGCAGTTTCTTCAGTCTTCAGGCCATATTATCTGACATCCCTACTTCCCCTCTCCCCATTTACTTCTACCCATCCCATCAGATCTGGCAGAAGCGGTATGTTACAGGTCCCATCTGCTAAAGAATTCCATCTAACAGGACCTAGGAGAAGAACCTTTTCTGCTGTGGCATCCGTTCTTTGGAATATCATTTGCCCTGGGTGAAATTAGCCCCGATCCTATTGACCTTCCAGAAATCTCTCAAAACGTGTTTTTTTTCAACAGGCCTGGGGTTTGCTAAACCATCCAGGTAGAACCCATGAGCTGGCTGTATTGGAAGATTCTGATGCAATTTCCCACAATCTTGCTTATAGTTACATTATTTTTAACAGTCATTACTTAAGATAGTTTTAATTATTGGTTTTATTGTATGCTATACAGAGTCACATCTGTGGGACAGGTTGCTATTTAAAGTTCCTAAATATATTCCTCTCATGTAAAATATGAGATCACTAATTTTGGTGAACAGGAGCTGTAGAGGAGAAATATTTTTTTTTTCTTTATACACACACCAGACACTGGCTATCTATCCATGTCCTAGGTTGTGTGTGTGTTTTTTTAAATGGTTTCATAATGATAAATGTACAGGGGCACAGCAAGATCACAGAGGATCTATTAATAGTGTAGGAAGTCTAAAAAAGGAGCAAGGAAAGAAGATTATTACAATATCAAATCCATCTGTCTGATTTGCAAGAGATGAAGTCTTCAGTTCAAGTTGCACGAACTCAGTAGCCAGATTTTCCTCAGTAACTCAGCCTAAAGTCTTAGTCAATAAAAGTACAGATGATAATACTGCAATGACCCAATGTACAAGGCAATTGATATCACAATGTATATATGTTTCTAAAATATTCTGATGCATGCTCAAAATGTTGTCTTTCAATGTATTTGTTCAAACCTACACAAGGTTAATGTCAGCATATACACAATAAATACAATTACCTTCATATCTATTCCACTGCTTTTGGGGTTTTTGTTTTGTTTTGTTTTGTGTGGGTTTTTTTGCCATGCATGAGTTTATTTATAGTCAGAAACCCAAAAAACCATGTGTCAGATGTTTGTCTTATTTAACTAATCACATACCTTTGTAAAGATTTAATAAATGTTTGATAAGTAAAATTTACAAACAAAAGGGGTGGGAAGCAAAATAGACAACAGAAAATTTTATTTTATTTTACCAAATCAAAATGCATGGTTTTCCTTGACTCACCCAGAGTAAAAAAAATGCTGCTTAATTTCTACTTAATCACCAAAAGAGGGCACTAAAGTACAAACCATTCTCAAGCTTCACATCAATATCCCAACAACATATAGCATAGCAACACAATTAACCTCAATTTATGCTTAGATTTTTAAGATTCACACTCTAATAACAACATGTAAATGATTGTTGAGATATTGTAGCACATAATACAACAGAATAAGAAAATGCAGGCAGATTTAACTTGCACACTGGTTTAAAATATTAAATCACTGTTATATTCTACAATAATCCACTATAAATGAGGCAATTTCTGCCAATTTGACAAACCCTAAAGCTTCTCCTTTTATTTGCAACTAAACCAGGCTCTGGTGCAAGCTAGGAAAACAAACCACATAATCTTGCTTACTGATTTATAGTTGAAACCCCTAAAAAATGCACAATAAAAAGCCATATAGCAAAGCAAGGATGGAGAAAATCTTCCAATATAGTTGACATTATCCATGCAGCCCCGTAAAATAAAAACAAACCTCAAAACTTACAATGGTCTTAGCAATAGAGCAGAATTCATCAACACTGATATTATTATTATTTCAAAGATTTTAATTTAAAAATGAAAATACCTATATTATATGCAAAAAGACACATTAAATAGACAGGAAAAAGCTTTTCTCTATCCAAAGACTTGTCTAAGTATAGCCTTTCTCAAGGGTCAAGATAAATCCAAAAACATTCTATTAAAGTGGAATTCCAGCACAAAGGCATAGTATTAAAGGTTGATTATTTCTAGTTCTTGCAATTTAAGTTGCTTTTGATACTAGTGACTCTTGTAAGACATCTTAATGACTCCTAATGTCAATCTGGGAAAAGTACCTATACTGGAAAATTCCTGGGAGTTCTGGAGATAGACTACAGAGGGACTCAATTAGAAGTCACTCCATTATGTTCAAGGCAACTTCTATTTCTACTCCAGGAAATGAGAAGTTATAAATAATCTTTAGAGACTTTTATAAGTCAGACCAGGTAAGAAGCCAACGCAAAGTAATGGCTTGAACAAATCCAAGAATCTTACTCACTTCTTCACCACCATTAACAATACAATTAACCTAGGCAGATGCTGTTGGATGATGTAGTGGATATTTCAAGTATGCAATATATTTTAAGTACAGGTAGTCCTCAACTTACAACAGTTCATTTAGTGACCATTCAAAGTTACAATGGCACTGGAAATGTGACATGACTGTTTTTCACAGTTACGGCCTTTGCAGCATCCCTATAAGCATGTGATCAAAATTCTGACTCATATTTATGACCATTGCTGCGTCCCAAGGTCATGTTATCACCTTTTGCAACCTTTTCACAAGCAAAGTCAATAGGGAAGTCACTTAACAACCAGGTTACTAACATATCAACTGCAGTGATTCACTTAACAACTGTGGTAAGAAAGGTCATAAAATGGGACAAAGCTCA